TATTTAGATCATAAGATTCTAAACCAAATGATTAGGTTCCCCACCTCCCAAAAAAACACAGGAAAATGGTGCTACTCTCATATATACATTTTAAATTGGTAGATTATATGTTACTTCAAAGTATGTTTTAGGTGATTATTGCTTGTATTTTGCTTCAAATGAAATTGGCCCTAAAATACATGGTTCATTTGGTCAGTAAATTCAACTGAGTATTGTTTGTGTGATTAAGTTATAAAAGACTAATAATGAGACAAAAATCCAAACCACCTAATTATGATTGAAAACTTATACAATGGCTAGTGAAAACTGGAGTAGTTTTAAAAAAAGTGGGAAATGTGGAAAAAACAGTTCAATATTTTTCTGGAGCTAATAACCAATAGTATATTCACCAGAAACATTTAATCAGGAAGAAGTAATTTGCTGCTCATCTAGAAAATTGGGGTAATAAACAATCAATTACCCTTTCAAGATATAATATTAAAACTCCAAATCAAAGATGGAAGAAATTCTCTACTGGAATGAAAATGCCTAATGCTGAGAGACAACTTATTTAATATTTAAATACTAAGATTGTGGTAGTAAGTGCAAAGCAAACAAAAGTACAACAGCTTGTTTGAATTATTTAACTGCATTTTTACATTGAGTAGTGGTCTTTAGTTCTGCAGATGTCACATTTGGTTTTCATATAATTAAAATGTAGCACATTTTCCTATAGCCCTGGGTGTCAAACTCACAGACATGGCGGCGTCACATATCAGGACTTCCCCCCCTTCGCTAAACTGGGTGTGGGTGTGGCCAGTGCCTGATGAATCCAGCCCACAGGCTGCGAGTTTGACAGCCCTGCTATAGCCCAATTTAATTTCACTGCTTGAATTGGATTTGATATCAACAAAAGCTAAATACCCAAGCTCTCGTCAAATTGAGACCAAATTCGAAAGAACGAATGGACGAATTGGACTATGTATTAGGTCTGGGACAATAGGCTGTATTCAACTGCAGAATTCACATCTAACAGATTCTGTATTAGATAGATCAGAGTACCTTAACCTTTTGGGCTTTGTGGACTGGGGGGGAGAGGAGAGGGAACTGTTCTGCGTGAGTGATGGGTGAATGTGCATGCGTGCAGCTGCATTTGCCTGAGTGGCAGGCACGTGCGCCCATCGTTCACACAAATGGGGTGTGTGTGTAGGTGCTTGCCTGCTGCTCACACAAGTTGGGATGCACATGCGCATGTGCTCATCCACCCCTTCCACGGCCCGGTTCTGAATGGCTCCAGGCCTGAAAGTGGGCCGCGACCTGGGGACCACTGATATAGTTCCCCTTTATAATGTATGCATTCTCACATGATGCTAAAACAACAGTGCTTGCTTGCTTTTGGCTTAGCCAATTGTGTGAATATACTAATAAGTTGTAACATTCTCTATCCATTCTAATATTATATACTCTTTATTAAACAACACTATAAGTTGAATTAAAAAAATACAGGTAGTCCTTGATTTACAACGCTTCATTTAGTGACCATTCAAAGTTACAATGCCATTGAAATATGTGACTTATGACCATTTTTCACATAACCTTTGCAGCATCCTTGGACTCACATGATCAAAATTCAGGCGCCAGATTTGGCAACTGATACATATTTACACTGGTTGCAGTGTCTCAGGGTCATGTGATCACTTTTGGTGATTTTCTGACAAGCAGAGTTAATGGGGAAGCCAGATTCACTTAACAACTGTTATTAACGACTGCAGTGATTCACTTAACTGTGGCAAGAAAAATCATAAAATGGGACAAAATTCACTTAACAATTGTTTCAGCAACAGAAATCTTGGGCTCAATTGTGGTCATAAGTTGAGGACCACCTGTATGGTAGCTTGATAAACCTAAATTATTATATATAGAGAAATATAGCACTTATGGGATATGGAAGGCCTTTTTATTGAAGAACAGATCTCTTGAGTGCCAAAAAATAACAGCCACTATTAATTTTTAGTTTAAATGCAATCTGAATACCATTGCAGACATAGCATAACAAAGCACCTATAGACATGAAAAGGTACACAGACTCAAAAAATTTACCAGTTTAGCATTTCAACCGTACAGAGCTGAATTGGACTGCCATTGTCTTTTAACAATTTAGCAATCCATCCACAGCATTTTTAAAGAGGCAATACATTTTCAAATATATTAAGTTACCAGAATTAATAAAAAACTGTACATAGGGAACAAGAACTGGCCAAATTAAAAATGTAACCTGAAAAATTAGATCCTGTCCAATGAGAATCTATTTTTAGAAAGAAAAAAAACTTTTAAAAGGCACATTTGGCAGCTACTGAAAGTTGCATACATCTGGCACAAGATTCATTTTTCATTTCAGTTGTCTAGACAGTGGAATTTACAAAGACCGTTCATTTTTACAGCATCTAATTCCTTAACTAATTTTGCATTCAAAGACAAAGGGAATGGACTTCAACTTTAAAACCTTACCCATCATTTCTTTTAGAAAGCACCCTGTTTTTGATTTTGAATCATAATCAGTGACCCTACAATTTGCCTTATTTTTTTAAAAAAATGGGATTGATGATTAGTGTTTTGAAAAGCGATTTATAACAATTGTGTGAAAGTTAATTCTTATGACAGGCCAGCATCCGAACTAGGACTTACAGTGTGTTGAGAAGATCCCTGGAGTCAGTTAATTGAGCTTTCCCCCTTATTAAAAATAAAACTTCAGAAAAAGTCTTCCCTAATTAAAATGTTAGAACAAGGATTTCATGCATTTGTTTCTGTCCCCATTAGTGTGGTATAATTTATGAGGGAACAATGATAGGCTAATTCCCCAAGCCATACTAAATGTAACAGGAGCAGCCAACTCACTAGCCCCGTTAGCAGAATTTCCACAGGTACTAATTCTATCTTCTCCTACTGATGTTGTTTTTAAGGAACTGGCGGGGAAAGTAGGCTACAGAATCCACGTGTGTATGCACTGAGTACTGGGTGTTGTAAAGTATAACAGAAGAGAAGCTGATGAATTATAAAAATGAAATTTTCAATCAAAACCCCAATTCCGGGAAAAGCAGCCTGACTTAAAGATGGCAAAAGTATACAAAAGCAAACAATACCATGCATAAAAACAACAAACACATTTATAGCATGCTTGATGAAACATGGCAACAGATTGCTTAGATTTGTAGGATTTCTTTCCATTTTGTACTGATCAATCATGGCACATAAATCCCAGATTTCCCTTCTGACAAATTTGGTGAAACAGCTTTCTCTGATCAGAAAAATATACCTGAACTTGATCTAGATAACAAGTACTTGCTTATGTTCATTTTCCTAACCCTGAAACAATTTCATGGAAAAGATTCTTTCTCACACACACACATTTTTTTAAAAAAAGCTCTTCTACACTATCAAACCCTCACGACTGCAATTCTATATATATATTTATTGACAAGGGACAATAAGAGGGGACTAAGGCAAATGTGCTGCAAATGGAGCACATTTTACCATTACAGTGATAGTACTAACAATACAATTGGGTTTGAGGGAATCTGTTTAGATTAAGATTTTGCATTTTTAAAGTGTTGATTATTTTTGTACAGAAATAAATATTTACTGTCATTTAAAAAAAAATCTTTTAATGACCCTGTAATCCCTTACATCGAGATGGAGTCAGGGCAACTGAATGGAGCCGAGTGTTTACTGGCTAGATGCCCTTCCTGTCACCAATGCAGAGTTCACAGCAGATAATTACTCATTGTGCCCAGAAAGAGAGAAATATCTGCTGCTACCTAGGATTGAACTCACAGCCTCCTGATTGCAAGGGTGAAAGCTTCACCTCTAGACTACTGTACCACTCAAATACTGACCTTCATTGTGGTAAAGAATCTAAAACCCTCACAATATCAACAGCATCTCTTGTTAAATCAATTCATTTAATAATTCAACAGCTGACCGCTATCAAGCGAAGTAATCTTAAAAGCAGCTGTCATAAAATTCTGATGGGGGAATCTCTTTTCATTTAAGACAAAGTTATATTTGCTTATAAAATTACTATTTAAAAATGTTAAATTAGCAAATATGTACTCTAGTCTCTTCCTGAATGTCAGATTGCTTGATCAGGGAAACTGATTCAGTGTGGCAGGCAGAAGCAGGAAGATTTACTGTTATCCTCTGCTTTGCTCAAGCTGTAGTGAATAAATATCATACAATATTTAAAGTTCTTAGGGATGGCACTTTTGCCATGATACAAATGAAAGAAAAATGGCTTTAACTGGGGTCCAATGTATGATTTTTTTCATTATGAATCGGAATTACTTCTGAAATATCTTCAACTGTATCCTCACTCAACCCTTCTTATAGTCTTAATATTAACATTTTTCCCCAGAATGCCCTTTTGATTCTCATATTATGAGCGTAAAGTTTAAAAGGATTCTAAGATAAATTCAATTACTTCCTGAAATGCAAAGACCGTAATCTGCAACTGGGAAAATTTATTATAGCAATAGACTCTCACAATGACACAGACTTTCAACAACATTGTTCCAATGGCGTGACTTTCTAGATAGCTGAAAAGTACTCTGGAGTGGGGAAAACATTTCATCCAAGCATATATACCGCATCATTCACAATTCCTAAAGTAGAAAGAAGATTGAAATCTTCAGTAAATGCCTTATATTACAATCACAGTATGGGGACCAGAAGCTCATAGGTTCATAGGAAGGTCAGATGTTCATAGGTTAATTCAAAGCCAGATACTGTACTGTATTCACATAAATTTCCCAATACGAACTTTAAACTTGTGAAAAGTTAGACAGAGATTACAATATATTATATGCATGAATCCATTAATCATGCCAACTCACCTGGATTTATTATTCAATATCTTGGCATTTCTTCTGGGAGTATCCTTGGTAAACTAAAACAATGATCTAGAAACAGAGATGTGTGTACCACAGTATGTCTCACTTCCTCAGGTCTAAAGACTGAAATGTATCTTTAGCAATGCAATAATTTAATATATGTCAGCCAGACAAAATATCTGTCTTTATTTCATTTAAATTAAAAACAATTTGCAATTATATTTATGCAACATTCACTATATACATATGATTTATTTATGCAACTACAAGGCAAAAGTTGATACTGATTATTTGTCTACCTACCACTAGTTAAAACAAAGTGATAACCAGGGATTGGGTGGGGGGAGATGGCCAGAGGATCATTTTTTGCATTTCCATGGCATAATCAAAGAGGCTGCAGCACTAACTGGAAAGTTGATCACTGGTAAATCTTAATTGAAGACCTAGTCAATATTTACCCATGTATACACGGATTTAAGTGAAGTAGCAGTGCCATTTCAAAGTATTGAAGAAATTTAGAGCCTGCCCATTTTCAAAGCGACTCTGGTCAGCTTACATTAAAAAATAAGAAATTATAAAAACATCCCGTGTGTCTGGATAAGCACACTCCCTTAAACAGAAAACATAACCATAGATTTCCACAACCTACCTACCCCAGGCCTGGGAGAACAGCCATGTTTTTAAAAACTTCCAGATCATCATCAAGGTGAGAGCTACACAGAAGTCTGGAGAATATCACTCCAGAGGGCAGATGCTGTAATGAATAAGACTTCTTGGGTCCTGAAAAATGGCATTATTTGACTGAAACAACCCAAAGCACACCAACTGTGCCTGATCTTACAGGACAGGGAATCCTGGGAGCAGGCAGTCCCTCAGACAGCTTTTGTTATGGTGGCACAAATTAGGCATTCTACTTACTGCATCTCTCTTTAGAACTGGCCTCAACACATTTTTATAGAAGGAAAGTACCTCTTTGGTGAAGCCTAGCTACCCATGTATTTAACTAATGTAAGAGTTTGTAAACAGGACTGCAGTATAATGTGATGCCTTAGCTCTATCCTGGTTCAACGCTACAAATCAACCTCACAGTCCAGTACGATTCGAAAGCAGGGAATGATACAATTAAATTAAAAAGGCTAACAGATTCTCTGTTTTGAGATTTTTTCTTTTAAAAAGTGCATATTATTACTCCAAGAATTTATGTCACGGTGGACAGATTATAGGATTATGCTTCACATCCTTCACTGGACAATACACAAAGCACAGGAAATGCTTATTGGCCTAAAGAGATCTGCAAACCTAATTTCTGGTACATTCAGAAGTCCAGTGAGTTTAGAACAGTGCCTTGCATACTTTACTAACAAACAGCATTTTTCTTCCACAATAAAGGGACCTGTTATTTATTATTTTCCACATTATATATATCAAATGTAGAGTCATTAGTGTTAGGAGCAGTACCACGCAGCTCCTTGTTGACAAAAGACGTGGTGCATCTATTGCCAGCAATAGACGTAGCACCGGAGAAAGCATGCTCTAGCACAAAGGAGGATTCAGGTGGAGTGGGCATTCTCCAGCAAAGGGGGTCCGTCGTGATGCATTGAAGGATGGGTGGGCTCCCTTTTGTAAGTTTTTGGAGGAAGCTTTGGGATATGTTGAGAAGTGCTTTGCCGTGGAGGAACAGGTGGCCCAGCGACAGAAGGGATGTCCATTTCTTGGGGTATCAAAGGAGGTGATGGTAAATGCCTGCGTGCAACATGGGGAGAAGGGGTCTGAGGAGGAGGGGGAGTAAATGGAGAGGGGCTATTGGGAAAGAAAGTGTTGCCAAGTTCACTTTTTCTGCCTAAAGGCGGTGGCTGGAGATGCAAAGGCGAACTAGAGAAAACATCAGGAGTTCGCACAGGTTCTCGTGGTGGCAATACAGGTGGGCTTTCAGGAGCATCTGAGACAGAGGTCCTGTCGGGCACCGAATACCTCGGTGAATAAATTTTTGTTGTTGGCTGCCGAGGGGGAATTGCTGGTGGACTATCCAGATGTACAGAAGAAATCTAAAACAAACAAATGATTCTGTTATAAAGTGATTCAAGGGCTCCAGTGTTACATTACTAACCCTTCCAACAAAAGCTACATTAAACCTTGATAAACTTCTCATCCAAAGACAGATGAAACAAATTTATTCTTCATTTTCTCTTTTTCTGTCAGTGATTAAAATAACATCCTTATGTTACATCCAGGTTTATTTTAAACATACCACACCTTGGTGATAACAACTAGGGAGTGAGCAGAAAATGGAAAAATGTTTTGTTTTAAACTATCAAAGCCCTGTACTCTTTGATATTCTGCGTGACTCTTTCAGATCATGATTTGTTTCTTCCATTTTCTTCAGTAGTCCTCAAGATACAACAGATGACTTAATGATTGCTCACAATTATGGCCGACAATGCAAAACTACATATGAACCTGTTTAAAAGTTATGACAGTATAGTACCTCTGAGGTCATTTGCACTTATGACAGACCACAAGGATGCTGCAGCTCCCCTGCCTGTCTTCCCCCTCATCCCACCCAGATAGGATCCCTGCAGCGCATAGGCCTGCTCCCCATGCCCCTTGGAAGCAGTGACCTCTGCCACCAATTGGGTGCTAAAACTAAACTCTCTGCCTCTGCTGTCCATTGACTGCCTGTAGGGGGCAGTCTACGGTCTAGCCTTTAAGGCCTAATTGAGGACAGGCAATCAAAGGAGAGCTAAAGCTTGCAAAAATCCAGCATCCTCTATTTTTAGCAGTAGTTTCTAGTCCACTTAAATTTTGGAGATGAGTATTTTTCCTCTCCAGTTCCAAGGGAAAAAGCTGCAGAAAGATTTTCTCTCCTGGCTCTCTTGGTTCCTTTATTATTCAGCCTGCAGTCCAGGTAAGGTTTTAAAAGGGATAGAGATTGGATGGTTTAGTTTTAGCACTTAACTGGGGCAAAGGGAAGAAGAGCCACAAGTCTGTCCCACCCAATTTTTATTTTTTTATTGAAGAAATGTAGGTGTGGGGGAGAGGTTTGTGGAAGCTCATCCTGAAGCTTTTTATGCAAGGGCCAGCTTCCCAAAGCTGATTCCAAATCCAAATCCAAATCCATCTGTCTTTAGCTTAATTTCATTTTTCTATGGTTTGTACTTTAGAATGACAGAAAATGGGCCCCGAATTTCTGAATTACACTTTTTAGGAATTTGAAAAGCCATTATGGCCTCTTCAGTCAGATTTTCACAGGGCTAAAACTTACCCGTTCATTCCATCTATTTTTTGTAAGACTTAATCATTTCCTATCCTCTTAACCAGTCTTGTTTCCTTTGTTGGACTCTTTCATAAATTGTGGTTGCCCATTATTAAGCCAAGTACTTAATATGACAAATATTAAGCATGTTTTGAATTCAAAATGTATTGCACATCCTTGTGTGTGGCAAATGCACAATAGTGATTATTCTTAATATTTAGAACAATCTACTTTTATTGATGTAACCTTAAAACTGAACTTGCCTCTTTAGTAATCACATCAAACTACCAAATCTGCTATCCCCTATTGTTCATTCATAACACACACACACTCATATGTTTCTGTTATTTTCAGCCCTTTTCTGTAAGTCTCCTTTTTAAATTCTGTTCATATTTTTAGAATATTATTCTTCTGCAAATTTGATAAGCGTCCCCTCTATCTTTTCATTCAAAAGTCCATTTGATTTTTCATTAGTATGAAGAATCATAGCTGAACATAGTCTAAATATGATTTTCATCCTACCTACCTGAGTTTACTCCCCATTCTACCCTTAATTAACCTGCACTTTGGAAAGTCATGTGCAATCACTCTTGGCCTTCTAGAAAGTTACAGAGACAGCTGTTTTGGAGATCCTACATGGGGTAGTCACTATTGTACTTTTAGTGGTTTTTACATTTTCATTGTTTTTTAATGACTCAAACTCTGAGAATCTTTTTGAAGTTTGGCAGTACGTAAACAAAATAAACAAATAAATGGCACAGTTATCTTTGCATCATGCTTGGGCCCCCCAATAGAGGAACAGCAGAATGGAGGTGTTTATTGAGTAAGAACAGAATTCCACTTCCCCCCAGGCCCTCCCCATGTGTCCTTAAATTTTAATGTTTTTTGTTTCAAATTTATTTATGTTTTAATGTATATGTATATCTATATTTTTATGACTGCAAACCACTCAGATTTACCCTATGATAAGATGGACGGCCAATATAAGTTTATAAATAGAGAAATAAAAAATAAATGCATAGCTTTTGTCAGCTTCTGGTCACTTAGGAATTCACTAAAACAAAAATTCTGACGGGGGTGCACCAAACTTTTGCTTGTCATATCACCTTATATCTTTTAAAAATAATTTTAGCTTACTTCTAAAATCCATTATTTTTGCTATTGGAAATAGAGAAAAATTACCTTTGACGGAGACGATTCAGCAGGGGCAGATTCTGGACGTCTTCGGGGTGGAATAGGAGGAGGAACAGCAATTTCATCAGAATTTTTGGGAAAACTGATGGAGGATACAGAGGCAGACCCTGAGGACATATGAAAACTTTGAATGGCCTATTTTAAACAGAGTAACATATAACTTATAAAAACTGTTTTCATTTAAGTATTGAATTTCTGTGATATCATGTTTATTTCATAATAATCAGATTCTTAAGGCCACTCATTTATTAGATTTGCCCATCTCATATATGTGGGGCTCACAACATTTAAAAACATCAATAAAACAGAATAAAAATTAAACTCAATGAACACACAACCATAATGAAAACCACCATTAAAATCTAAGTTAAATTAAACCAAAGAAGGCTGGTAAACTTTTCAGTTTGCTCAAATTCATGAAGAAAAACTACAGGAGACATCCAAGCATGGGAAATTAATTGGATAGACATCCTCATGAGAACAGGTATTAGTAAGTTACCTGATTTATATTCTTTTATTGCTCAGTGCATCTTGGGAAATTCATTTTGGAAAATATTAAGGATATAGTTATCCTTGTTACTTTTTATATCCATCATTATTGGGAAATAGCACTACTTTACGTAAATATTAATTCTCAACTGTTATTTTCTAAATTATGATAAATTATAAAAGCATCAACTGAATCAAATGTCCCAGTAGATTCTATTCTGTATAAATACTATCTCATTTATTCTTATGCTACGTAATACAACACAAATAGAAATGAAAGGGTCCAAAAACATTAAAGTGGAAGAGAACATCATTGCCTGTAGTTGCACCTACTTGAATGAAAAGGTGTAGAGGGATCAGAATCAAACACACTGCAGACATCTGTAGTGCTGGAAGTAGAGGACGGCAAGGGTGGGGTGAGGGGTGTTCTTGGAGAGTTTGGTGCAGAGGCTGCATTCTCCGATTCACTCTCAGGGACACGACTGTAACTAATTTTTCTGGGTTCTTGTTGCAGAGGTGTTGGGTGCCTCATGGTTCCAGGTCTTGGATTTGATGGACGAATACCCGGAGATTTGAGGGAATAGCTGTATTTTTTAGGCTGAAAGAATGCAAAGCAGATATTATTTTAACTTTATCATTTCCGAGTATCATATTTGTGTTGTTCTACAAGTAATTGATTATGTGTTATAAAGCTGATGTCAGCTCTGAGTGACAATGGTTGCTAGATCTGTCCCTCACTTGGCTTAGCATTGAGTTAATCCATGTCTCTCTCTTTCATTTCTAGAATTTCTAGAATTATGAACTTGTGAAGGAAGTGAGGTCTTTGCATAATGTGTCCCAATGAAATATAATTTCAGTCTGATCATGTGCCTCAAGTGAGACTATGGACTGATCGGTTTTATGATCCATTTGTTTGGGCCTTTTCTGGTTGTCAGTGATATTGTCAGGGGTCTTCTAATTCCAGAGTTCAAAATGTCAATATTCTTTCTATCATGCTTTTACAAAGTCCAACTGTGTACAGGTAGTCCCCGACATACAACAGTCATTTAGTGACTGTTCAAAGTTACAATGGTACTAAGAAAAGTGACTTATGACCGTTTTTCACACTTATGGCCATTGCAGAACACACACCCCATGGTCATGTGATCAAAACTCAGATGCTTAGCTACTGGCATGTATTTATGATGTATCCTAAAGTCATGTGATCCTCTTTTGCAATCTTTAACAAGCAAAGTGAATGGGGAAGCTAGATTCACTTAACAACTGTGGCAAGAAAGGTCGTAAAATGGGGCAAAATTAACTTAAAACTATCTCACTTAGCAACAGAAATTTTGGACTCCATTGTAGTTGTAACTCAAAGATTATCTCTATAGGGAAAACCACTGCTTATACAATTCTGATCTTTGTAGACATGTCATGGAATCTGAATATTGTTTCCAAGGTCTTTGTTGCTACCCTACCAAATGTTAATATGAAACGCATTTCTTGACTCCTGGTTTAGTGCAAAACTGTTCTTAAAAAAGAAAAGTGATTTACAGCAAGTAAATAACAAAAGTTAACACTCACAAATCTTGGAGGCGGCTTCATATTACGTGGTTCTATTTCTAGGGACTTGTTGTAAAGAGAATCTGCAAATTCTTTTTCCATGCTATTTCCCATTGGATTCAAATTTTCAAAAAATCTCTAAAACCCAAAGACTCAAGTTGATTAGTATAATGTAACATTGTGATTTTAAGGCAAAGGATGCAAATACTTTAACAACAGGGGACAAACCTATCTGACTTTTTGTTAGTCACAGAAATACATTTCCCTCTATCTGTTTTTAAAGCAACACTTATGCAAACTAATAGACTTCAAGAAGCCATTGAAGTAACTGAAACAATTCTTCTGATGTTTAATTTGCATTAACAGCTGTCAAGGAGGCAGGTCCTCTCACAGAACAGGCGATGAACTGGATGGAACTGGCTATCGTTATACCTTAGAATCATAGTTGGGAAGAGCCATTTAGGTTATTGTTTCCAATCGTTTGCTCAGTGCACAAATCCCAATTAGGGCATTAGCTGATTCAACTAATTTTATATCTTCTATATAATTATAAACCTTACACCCACTGTTTACCTAAACTGTTACTAAAAACAATAAATAGAGGGTCCAAGATTGCTCCTTAAGAGTACTTCACTCAGTACCTCATTCAAATTCAATGAGATAGGGTTGATTAGCACAATTTTACATTTGTATGATTTCAGCCAACTGCATTTTAATGTTAAGTAGTTATGATTAATGTCACTATGGTTTGACCAATGTTTTTACACCTTTACAATTTTTGTAAGATTTAGACTGGGAAATAAATTGTATAAGAGCACACTTGAGGATCATTTTAAGCAAATATTTTTCCTTCCATACTTGGAGGATGAGATAGTCCTGAGTTACAGAAGAGTTTTGCTCCTACAATCCTTGTAAAAGTAAATTTTCATGTATGCTTGCATCTATTTGCAAAGTAGCAGTTGCTGTTTTGCACATCTGCAAAAATCAGTGTTTTTTTTCCATCCACATAATGTTTATTTATTGAAAATATACTGTATATAGCCAACATTTCGTGTGCCTCTTTCCAGAAAGCTAAAGTTACATAAGTCAGGGGTTACTTAATCTGGGTATTGCAAAATATAGCAAAGGAAAAAAATCAGTTTGCAGTTCACTGGGAACCACAAGATAGCTCTTGAAGTAAAACTTCTTTCAAGACCAAGACTGACAAATAGATAAGTAGGATTAACCCCAGACAATCAAGCAATAAATGGTACAAACAGAAGAGACTATTTGTAGCTCAGGATTGAACTGTGAGGACATTGGTGATCTCTGAGCTTCATGGGTTTTCTAGAGACATTTCTTTAGCAAATTAGGTAACTAGCCTAATTGATGATGATACCCAGTTTGGTACTGAAATGTCTGCAAAAAAAATTGCCAAGCTGACAGAGCACCAAAGACTCCACAGTAAATGTAAAGACTCCACCCTTATCAAGGAATTATCAACTCAGACAAACAAGTAGAAAACAACACCCTAACCAATGAACTACCAGGGAGAAATATCCCCACCAACATGACAGGGCAAACTACTGTATTATATATTGAGAGCAAACCTCACTTCACAAGCAAACAACCAAGCTCGGAGAACACCAAGGATGCAAAACTTTCTACTTACCCTGATGTCAGGTTCCACCTTTAAGCAATATGGCTGGTTTTGGTACTGTTGTATTTCTCCTGTTATCTCAGCTACTTTCCTCCGTTTGCTAAAGTTAATGAGTTCTCTTCCATGTCTTCTTAGAAATTCAGGATTGCCTTCTTCTGTTTTCAAAATGTTTGTTAAATAAATTCCTATAATAGCAAATATATAAAAATGTACAATGTACTATTTTTCTAGTAAACAAATTAAATATTAATAGCATGGAATATTTTAATATACTATCAAAAGATTTTGTGTAGCTGCAAGGAAATGCTGAAGAGTTATTTTGCCAATAAATTGTACTTTCAACAAGCAACCCTTAGGCTTTCAAAAATTCAAAATTTCCCCCTTGACTCATCAGCATTTCTTGAGATTAATATCTGTATCCTGAAAAGCCAACTTTGATTTATGCAGGAGAAATGAAATTCCATTCTGCTTCTGGGGGGAAAAATGCTGTATAACAAGTTAGTTTTGCTCCAAATAATTACTGACTTAAGTTTTTTCATAATCCTTATTTCGTCTATAAAGTCTTTGGAATCACCCCTTAGTTCTTATGTCACAACAGTAAAAGCAGAAACAAACCTAAGTCTAAGTATCTTTTCTGTGTATTCATCTCCACATTTTTCCATTTCTCTGATAGTTAATTTATAAACTTTTCAGCCCATATCAGTTTATAACAAGACATTAAAATAGTCTTCAAGTTACAATGCAACAGGGGACTATGGCTTGACATAAATCTTCAGTACAACTACCCAGTTGTACTGACACAAAATTACAAAGATAGAAAAAAAGGATAGGCAGGTATGCTTCTTCATGATACCGGTAATCCTCAAGTTACAACCATTCGCTTAGCGACCATTCAAAGTAACAACAGTATTGAAAAATGTGACTTATGATCGGTCCTTACACTTAAGACCATTGCAATATCTCCCTGCCCACATGATCAAAATTCAGGCACTTGGCAACCAACATGTATTTATGATAGATGCAGCATAACAGGGTCTTATGATCACCATTTGTGATCTTCCCAGCCAGCTTTCAATAAGCAGAGTCAATTGGGGGGAGAGGAGACAGATAAACTTAACAACTGAAATGATTCACTTAACTAAGGCAAAAAGGTCATAAAAATCTAGTGGTCCCAATTGTGGTCATAAGTTGAGAACTACCTATATAAAAAACGTCTATGCTATACAGCACTGTGACAATTGTAGCTAAACAGTTCTTTCTCAAAATACAGAGTAAAATATATTATACTGGGCCAAATAAATACAACAATCTGATATATTTTTATCTCTACCTTCAAAATATTTCCAGTTCAGTTACATAGCACATTTATCAATCATCCAGGACATGGTTATCCCAAAGATGCTTTTCAAAAAAACTGAAGAAGCTTCTTGGATGAGAAGTGAAAGGTCTTCAAGGAAAAAAAAAACCCAAGAAAGTCCAGTTGCCTTTTGAAAAGCACCTTTGAGTTATCACACACATATTTTTAAGCTATTTAGACAACAATTTGCTTTGATATTAAAAGTTGCAAATACCTGAAAAATCACACCAATTATTTTCACTGAAAAGTATTCAAATATATGCTTTTGATATTTAATCATTCTAATTAACAGCAAATTCAGGTAGGACATTTAAACAAAAAACTTTCCCATATACTCATTCTACAGTTCATATTCTTTATCCATTAATATTTGTGATTTTATCTTTATCACAAGTAAACTCCTACTTACCAAAGAAAGGCACACATGGAGGATTAATGGACCTGAGTTTTGCCAAATATTTCTTATGATGATCTTCACTTAGTTCATGTGCTTCTTCAAATATCTTCTTTTGCCGGCTTGGGATTTGCTGAAGATAAAGAAAGGTGAGGATACACTTTGCCCACAAAAAAATTGCTGACTATATGCTACTATAGCTGATTGCCCAGGTTGGCTAAAATGTGTGAATCCGTCTACATGACTCATCCCCTTCCTTTACACAATGCTTTCCATATAAAGATCTATAATGTTTAAAGTAGCAATAAGATCTGCCTATATTGTTTTACTTGTTTCCTTATTTAAATAATACTTTTGATCATGAAGAAACCCATGATCCAGACAAAAATACTAAGAGCTAAGATTGGATATAAGTAGTAGAGGCTTTTTGTTTGTATACCTGGAATTAAATAAACATTTGTGCCACTTTTTTGTTTTAATCTAGGTTTGAGATAATTTCTTATATAGAGAAAAAAGATCTTAAATCATTTTTCTAATGTTCAAATCCAATATATATATTTTTAAAAATTTCTTTAATAAAAAATATCTGGTACCTCACATCCAAGTAGTTTTCATTTTAGATCTGCAATTCACTTACTTCAAAAGTGTGATCCAGTCTGTAAATAGGTGCAGAATTCATAGCACTGACGACTTCAAGAACGCCATTAAAATTGTTTAGCTCTTGAAAAACTTGCAAGATTTCAATTATCCGGCAGACTACCATTACTCTTTCTTCTAGGTTTTCTGTTTCTACAATGCATCTAGATATTCAGAAAGCACAAATTTTTGGGGGGATTATCAATAATGATGTAAAAGCATTACCACAGTTTTTTTCCCCCCAAGGAAGCATGGCCTAGTATTTTCTAACCACCTAATTGAACTTAAATCCAATTTCTTTTTGAATTAAAAGGAAACTATCATACACAGCAAATGTAATGTACTTTTTTTTATAGTATGGAGGGATCAGAGGTACCCAGTTTCAAAAGGTCCTGTCCTGGGTCAATCTATCTGTATACATTTCTCAACTGAAAAGACAGCAACTAAACTCACTGTAATCGTCATAAACATGAGTCAATTGCCAAGCATCTGAATTTTGATGATGTGACCATGGGGATGCTGCAATGATTGTCATTGTGAAAAACAGTGCTAAGTCCCTTTTTTTTAGTGCTGTTGTACCTTTGAATGGTCACTAAATGAACTATTGTAAGTCAAGGACTACCTCTATTTCCTGCTTAGAACTCAATCTCTGCTAAGTTACATCATAGGAACCATGCAAATACCAACACTGATCAATGAATCAAATTAGTCTTACTTTTCAAACCATAAGGTAAGATTAGTGGTATGTCTTATCATTTTGAGCAGGTTAGGAGAATTAATTTCTTTATCTTCCTTTGTCCATACACTTCCAACGAGCTCTGATGGCTGCACAGCCCTGTCAAACATAAAATCAAAACGAGGCAAGATTAGTTGGCTTTTCATCAAAAACATTTCCAATTAAATCAATAATTTTGAATTAGACTAATAAATGAATGATCTGTGTTTCTTTTGAACAGCTTCTTGTTCACAAAAAGAAAAGAATTTGGTTTTAATATCCAGCTTTCTCTATGGCCACTAATAATATTGTATTATGCGAAGAAATTTTGACCTTGCAACCATCGTTTTAATTTTATTAAATAATTCCCAGCTTATGAAAAGAAATTCTCACTTTTAATGACTGCTGATATTAACCATTAAAAATAGGTAAATATACCTCAGAAAATATAATACTAATAATTCTGCTAGTAAAAATAAATGGCAGAAAGACTTATGACATTAAAAAAGTCTATATTTAGCAAGTCTATATTTTAACCAGGAAACATACATCTCAAAGGAAAAAAGGCATTACCTGTAAAGTTCTGATTCAAGTAGAGTAAGCTGTCGGGCAATTTCAATTGGATGCAAAGTGAGCAGGTCAAATGTTTCAGTTTGTCCTTGCCTGCTGATATGCCACTCAATTGGAGGTGGTGAGCTTTCAAAAGTAATATTGTGACTTGGCCCAATGGCTTGTGCTTGCTTTTTCCTATTAATTATCTTCGTGATTGACTCAACCCATTTCTTCATAGCTTTACCTGAGAATGAGTACAGAAACTGGTTTACAGCACCATGGACCAATTCTAAAAATATTAAGTGCTTATCTTACCCACAGGCTCATTGGTAAAAGAATGTAAGAATTTCAGCTAGCCCAGCATTACAAGTGTCCCAAATTACAGCTGCTATTTGTTTAAAAAAGGAAGCGATGATTTATGTGAAATCATACATGCAGAAGCGTGTAAGAACTGGCCATACAAAGCATCCTTTGGTATCCTATTTTATTTTAATAATCTCTGAATTAAATTACAACAAAAATTTCCATAACAAGAAAAAAATGCCATGTCACACAGTAGTTCCAGTTAAGACCGCATGGTTTTGTGCAGACCCCGGTGTGCATGTTTCACCTCTCCTGCGGGAGCTGCATTGGTTGCCGATTTGCTTCTGGGTGCAATTCAAGGTGTTGGTTGTTACCTTTAAAGCCCTTCATGGCTTGGGACCAGGTTATCTGAGGGAATGTCTCTTGCCAGTCACATCTACCCAACCCATTAGAGTGAGGAGGCAGGGAATGCTGTGGGTCCCATCCCTGAAGGAGATACACCTGGTGGGACCCAGAAGAAGGGCCTTCTCTGTGGTGGCTCCCTCTCTCTGGAACATCATTTCCCCCAGAGATTAGAATGGCCTCCTCTCTAATACTCTTCTGGAAGGCACTGAAGACCTGGTTCTGCCAGCGGGCCTGGGGAACCCAGAGTAGGATGAAGCCGGGGCGGGATTCAAATTTTGTAACAACCAGGTCTGTGGGCGTGGCTAGGTGGGCATGGCCCTGTGACTGGGTGGGCGTGGCTTCTTTTTTTGGCAGCAACCCCCCCCCATTTTTTCGGGCGTTCCGGGCCTTGGGGGCGCCAGGGGGGGGGGGCATTTTTGCTCCCAGGAAGCTTCCCTGGGACCCAGGAAGGCAGAAAAATGAAGGGTGTGTGCGTGCCCCCCTCCATTTTTTTTGCCTTCCTGGGCATCAGGGAAGCCTCCTGAGCGAAGCAGTAAGTGAGGGGAATCCCGGCACAGCTCATAGGAACAGATCATAGGAACAGCTGATCGTTGAGAGGGAGAAAAAAAAGAAGAAATACCTTAAGGAGTGAGTGGTCGGGGAAGAACGCAGTCAGTGACGTCGAGTATGCGCACAATGTTGCACATGCATGATAAGGACTGGGTGGAGAGGGGAGGATAGAGAGGGGCAGGGCCAGCTAGCGGCATGATTTGCCAGTTCTCCAAACTGTGCAGAATCATAACAACCAGTTCTATAGAACTGGTCCGAACTGGTAGAATCCATCCCTGGATGGAATCCATCAAATGGCTCGTGTGATCAGCTGTTGTTGTGGCAAGGGGTGGGAGTTGGTGATTTTTTATTTATATTTTTCCAGATTTTGTTCTATTATATTTTATTAATTTATTTGATTCTTTTTGTTAGTTTTTATTGTTTTTTATTTTAAATATGGTTTTACATTCTGTAAGCTGCCACGAGTTGCCATGGGCAAATAGGCGGCAAAATAAATAAATAAATAATGTTCCTACATAAATTAATATATAAAGAATCTTAGATCTTTGTTGTTTTGATCAGGGAAGTCAGTTGGTCAGTCAATGAATCAATAAATCAAATCCAAGTCAATTTCTAGAGGGTTTTTCTGGTGTATTCTATTTATATATCCTTACATTGAATTATGAAACGTTGAAGGGTTTATTTTTTTCTAATTATGACTGATTATCTGGGGTTGGGCTGATATTTTATGTTACGATTCCATTAACTAAAATAATTTTAGGTTGATTTTTCTCAAATAAAACTTTCAAATGGATGACCAACAAACCAGGCATAGCTTATTAAAAAGGCCCATAAAGAAATAAATCTGGAGTATTGGAATAATAACTTCACTGTAACACTATGTAAAATAATGAATACATGCTGATATCTTGCTAGCTTCTTCAGAGCAGAAATTCTTACTCTAATAAATTAATAACATGGCTAGTCAAATATTAGCACATAGTTACTATCCCACATAGCATTAAATGGAATCTATTTGATCAATAAGGAACAGGTATGAAAACTACACTCAATGAAAATATAAGTATTAGATATTGTGGTCATCAATTACCTCTGACTGTGCCAATGAATTCTTCCAATCGTTGCAAAAGATCTACATCTCTCTCAAAATCATAGAAATGATGTTCCACCCAGTGTCGACATACATTTAATACTCTGCAACACAAATGATTAGATATTTGAGATCAATATTTATTTAAATATTTATTTAAATATTTATTGAATATATTTTAAACAACATTTAGTAGGGCTGCAATTTGTGTGCTTACACAAATTGCAGCTCTACTAAGCAACTCATAGATAGAATGAGCACAGATTTATAAGCACTCTTATTTAACTCTGAGCCTGACTGGCCATACTTTGAAAAGGATGAGAACAGGTGAGGAAAGGGCCCTGAGTCCCTTCATTAGGCACACCTGGGAAGAGAGTTTAAAGGAGAGGCAGCTGAGAGTGGCTTTTGCTGGGAAAAAACCAACTGGTTTGATTTACTGCCGTTCCTTCACTTCTGGAACTCCTTATCTTGCCCTGCCGGATTAATTACCTCATCTTGCCTTGATTGGACGTATAGTTAAAAGTTTCTGTTGACAATGTTTTGAGCTTGAATCTCTGCAGCCAGAGGCTGTTCCTGGGAGAGTTTTTCTCCAGACCAGAAGGTAACTGGGACACTGGGGGCAATATTGAAACAAAAAAAAAAAGGGATTCCTACTTATTATCTGACAGTGTTGCCTTTGTGCCACGCCCTGGGTCATCACAGTGGTCCATTTCAGGCCTTATGGGCATGGTTTTGAAGTTATTTCCTAGAAATGATTTCATCTGTTCAGGATACAAGCTGGCCCTCAAATCATTCTCCACTTCAAAATAAAAAACTTGAAAAAAACCTCCATGAACTCTCATGTTATTTAGTTTTTTGCACATAAAAAACCCTGCTAGCTCCTGAATTATATGATTTTCATTGTCAACTAAAGACCCTGTGAGCTGCCCAGAATAGTTGGGAGTTAGGCTGCATAAAAATGTAGTAAATAAATAAATAAATTTCAATACTCACCGTAGCTGTACAGGTTGTATATATTCTTTTCTAAATCTTTTTAATTCTGCACTAAGAGGTTGATCTCCATTCTCCATAGCTATACGATCTGCTTCTGTCGGTTCAGGTTCTGGAATTTCAAATCTAATATGGGATGATGTAGAGAAACTTAAATGATTAAGTGTAACACTTATATATTAATTTAGCAAGATGGAAAATACAAATTGCGATAATCAATACAGGGAAGCATTTTTTCATCATTCAGGAAGTCACAGGGAGTCAGGAAACAGGACAACCCAACAGAATTATAATTCTGAAAGTTAGCGCAGATGCAATAATGCTAACTACCATGTTTTCCCAAAAACAAGACCCAACCAGAAAATACGCCCTAGCACGATGCTTCCGGATGCTTGCAATATAAGCCCTACCCAAAAAATAAACCCCAGTTAAGATCGTCATCCAGACGGATGCATTTTAGTACTGTATTTCCCCAAACATAAGACCTAACCAGAAAATGTATCTTTTGGAGGAAAAAATTAATATAAGATCTGGTCTTATTTTTGGGGAGACACGGGTATGTCTTTAGCAAAGGAGTAGCAATAGCATTTAGACTTGTATACCGCTTTACAGTCCTCTCTAAACAGTTTATAGAGTCAGCATATTGACCCCAACAATCTGGGTCCTCATTTTAACAACCTCGGAAGGATGGAAGGCTGAGTCAATCTTGAGCCTGGTGAGATTTGAACTGCAAATTGCAATCAGCCAGCAATTAGCAGAAGTAGCCTGCAGTACTGCATTCTAACCATTGCGCCACCAACGCTCTTGCCAATGGCATTTTAATTGCAAACACAAGTGTTTACATTTGCAAATAAGTGTAATACGAATGTATATTTATTGATTATTAAAATTATTTTATTTTACTGATTAAACCCTACATACAAATAGGAAATGTGAAGAATACTAATGATTTATTTAAAAAATATGTTTTAAGTGTACCAAGTTCATTTAAAAAAAACACATTCCATGACTTAACATACTAATTGGACAATATAATTTGTCTTATATTGTGCTACTGCCTACAATCTTGCCAATTCTGATCCATACTGTAGATACTGCTGTATGGGATTGTTGATATATCTTATTTTTTATGAAAATAATCTGGAATGGAGGTAAGCTTAAGACAAATCATAAACTTTGCTCAAATAATCTTTGATTTATTTGGAGAAATAATTCATTCTGAGGCTAAATGTCACATTAAGTTGGGGAAATAACAATCTCCTTCTGAAGAATAAGCACTTTAAAAAATCTCAAGAAGGAAAAAAGTCGTAAGACAGTATTTCAGAAAGATTCACTCACCTTTCTATCAGGAGACTCAGTAACTCCTGAGGCTTACAAAAAGATCTGTATGTGGTAAGAAATGTTCGAACAAAATTGGGATCTAGAATAGAAAAAGAATGACTTAGGCAGCTTATGAAGGAAGACCGGTGATGATAGCTAAAAGCATCCACTATTACAATGTAATGCAGACCATATAATAGCAACTATGCTTTAATGATGACTGAGGAAACAGGAAAAGGATATTAATTCCTGACAGATTTCAGGAAACAATCCAAGATAAGCAGAAGGATACTCAGTTCAGGACATTCTCACTTAAGGGACTTGTTAAGCCAAGCTAATGACAAGTAATGGCCTTTTCAGAAGACTGGTCTTTCCTTAGTTTCCCAGGGAACTCAACACAGGAGGCTGAATGTAAAAGAGTAAAAATAAAAAGCATGCTTAAACAGGAAAGCACACTTCTTGGTGCAAAAGTAGACAACTGGAAGCCCTTCTGATGTACCGAATTCTCATGAAGCCCATCTACCACGTCCAATATGAGTGGAACTGTAAAGGGGCGCAGCTGAAAATGAGCAACGATTGTCTTTAGCTTTCATCTCAGAAGTGGAACAATGGCAGAGAACATCATTTCAGAATAAACAACCCTTTCAGGAAACATTAAACAATCTGTTTCAAGCTGGAGGAAAAAAGTGGAAGGTATTTTACCCCTTTTTACTATCTGCAATGATTGGCAACTCTTGCAGGACTGAATTTAACTTCACCTATTTTAATATACTACATATTGAGAAATCAACTTACTGTTGCTGCCTTTCTTTGCTTTCCCAACTAGCCTGGACAGAAAATGATTTGGAAAAAGAAAAAAAGAACCCTTCATCTTATAGCTTATGTAGACATCCCTTTTTCATTCAGTTATTTATATTTCTCATCCCTTTAGAGAGCATTGAAAACATTTTTCCTACCCATGAAGATAATCCAAATAGATAGAAACTGTTTGTCAATTGAATCCAGTTATGAAGAGGAGGACTTCTCTCAGTTCATTGATTTATGGAAACAGGGCATATTCTGTTTTCCTAGTTCTGCCCACTAATATAAGAATTTCATCTTACTATCTCTTAGCACTAGCTTGTTATGTCTGCATTATAACCAGCCAGTTATAGTAGCTTTTACTCAGGTTTCTTCAGCATAAGAAGGAAAGGGAGGATGAGAAAGTCATTCAAAGGCCTATTAATGCTCATGGATGGCTAAGACACATGTGTTAATTCTGCAGTAGAATCAAGAGAAAGCCTGGCCATTTGCACCCACTACACATGACAACAATATGTTACAGTCAAATTAGATGTAATACTTTTAAAAATATTTACATTTTAAAATCTTAGTTTCAAAGTAGCTACGTAGCAAGTGCATTTTTCTTACTGGATACTGTTGCTACAAGACTTCAAACAGCCATTTATTTGGATCAAACATGCACACAATTAACCAGGATGCCCATCTGTGATAAATGTCTCTTCAACACAGGCATTTTAAAAGCTATAAAAGACCTTCTAAAAATAATAATAATTCCTGAATGCCTTAACAAAGGAAATTGATGCTATGCTGACGCACATGCATTCAATGTACCAAAACTTATAAATAGAATATGTCAACCTTACGAGAGAAAAAAAGTTCCAAGATTTTTTTTTAAACTGGAAGTACTGTATTCACTCAAGAAACATAGGAGCTTATAAAAACAGAGAAGCAGCTTATATTATACATGCCAGAATATGAAGAAAGATGAAACAAGTTTCTGAGTATGAATAAAAAATCTCTATTACTATCTACATAGAATTCATAAGTCAATTTCTCCCATTATACATCAATTTCCATATATTAATTACAAACAAAATCATGAATGCAAAGAAATTATTTCATTATCTGTTCTGCAAGGAACTAAGCTACTGGCTCTTCTCTACCTACCAAATGCTAGAGTCAGACCTATCAACAATAGAATAATGAAGTTCTGGAAATCAAATCCTGTTATTCTAAAATACAGCACATATTGCCATCCTTACATGTAACTAGACACTGTGATTAACTGCTTCCCAATTCTGGCTTCTTTGGAAGCTTATAACCATAGTTTTTGCTTGATCATAATGAAGTAGTGCTAAACAATAGTTTATTCTAATGATAGATTCCTGAAATAGCTACAGTAGCTGGATCACACATAATTTAAGCAAATCCCAAAGAGATCATGTTTAATGCAGTGCGAGGCGATGTTTTATGGAGTTTTATGTTGTGGATTTTTAAAGTTGTAATCCATCTAGAGACAACTGGGTGTGAATTGGGCAGTCATATTCAATGAATTGATGGATGGATGGATGGAGGGATGGATAGACAGACAGACAAATACTGTGGAACCAGCCTTGTGTATGATCAGATAAGAGCAGAACAACAGCAAAAGGGTTAGGTACACAAGGAACAATTCTACCATCATATACACTTTTGATAGTAGTAAGCACTAGGACATGTATCTTCATAAACATTTCAGTGAAACAAGGATCATGATTTCTTAAAAGTAATCCAATTGTTATACTCTGTCTGTAGCAGAGAGGTATACTGAAGTTTAGGCAAACATCTCTTTTCAGATTCTTAGTCCAGATTTTAGCAAGTGAAAGGTAATACAGTGAAATGCATAAGCTAGATATATGAAAGATTGTAATATTAGCATTTGTACTATTAATATTTTGGACCAAAACAGTGTTTGTATAATTTCTGTTATCCCAAGCCAGACCAGATGGCCAATGAACAATCAAAAAATACTTTTGAAAGGAAGTTCTTCTAGAGAATGGTAATTTCCGGCCCCCACCCATTTATGTGCAAATGCTGTTCAAACACAATGACGAAATAAATGTTAAAAAAGAAAAAGAAAATATAGGCCATTTTGATTCTGCATAAAGAAATAAAAATAAGAATTTATTTTTCATTAATGGTAGACTTTTTTGCAATACTTTTCTCCCACTCCCATTGTCATTTTCAAGGATGAAGGTGCCATTCTAAGGGTTTTTCAGAACAATACTTATGTCTCCTAGTTGATGGGAGGCAGGAAGTTGTACTTCGGCCTGCAAGTAGTTCCCACATTAGAGGTACGTAGTGTGGGTATCATTAGGAAAAATCTGGGCTTTGGTCATCTTTGGGCCGTAGGGGCCAAATATGCCCACATGACTAGCACTATGCTTGTTCTAAGAAGATTACAGGAAGACATGTTAGCTACCTATCAGACAAGAGGGCAGAATTGTTTCAGAAGACAAGAAGTCATCAGTTTAAATTACAAGAAAGCAGACATCATTTGGACATCAAGAAAAAATTCTAAAAATATAAAAACTGTTCCACAATAGAACAGACTGTCAGAGGATGTTGTAACCTTGCTGGGGGTATTTCAACAAAAGCATGTTTGATCATCTATTGAAGATACTGTAACAGATTGTTGTTGAACAGGAGGTTGGACTAGATTATTTCCAAGGTCTACTCCAACACTTATATTCTGTAACTGTATGCAGATTATCTGAGAAAATATGAATTTGAAATATGAGAGTCTATTTATATGTAGATGTAGGTCAATAGAATGAATCTAAATGTAAAAACATAACTGGTTTATGATTAACTACTATGATAACTAATGAAAGATACAGGAGTGATAAGTTCTAAATGTGGGACAGATCATTTTTGGCAATCTCAAGAAAATACATGTTTGAATTAAGAAGGCACTCACAGCTCACCCACACCTGCTCCAAAATACCTTGTAGCATTTGACTGTAGCATTAGAGAAACAAAATTATAAAAAAAGATTGAATTACAAAATGTTTTACACGCATGTGAAATTTAAAGCTGGTTGCTGAATGTAGCAAGAGTGCTACAGATAATACAAGTAAAGCATACAAATGAATAAATGGAATGCTTAGGTATGCCACTGAGCAGGGAACAAGATATATGCACGTGTTCCCTTTGTCACTTATTTACAGATAAATGTGCAATGAATGCTTTTGGTGGTTACAGATGTGATGGCTGGGGAGTTTTTATGCAGGTGATGCTTTGCTGTTAATGGAAAATTTCTTTTATAGCAAAAGTTAGGGTAAATGATTCACTAAGGAGTATGCTTCTGAAAACTAACATATATGAACATATAAAAACCAAGGCTCTGTTTAAGGAAGAAAAATGGAATAAATCAGTGCAAGTCATATCTAAGTATTAAAAAAAAACTAGAATAAATCAATAAATTAATGGGCTTTTGTTATTTAATAAAATATTGCTTATTAAAATAAAACAGAAATTTTAGGATATGCAAATGTTGGTAAAAAGATACTGTAATGGGCAGTATGTTGTCTGTTGCAAGAAATAGTTATCAAATGAGAGCTTGGTACAAAAATGAGTGATCACTATGAAAAAAAGTACATTAGAAGGTTTGGCATTCAGAAACAATTAATGAAAATCAGACCACAAAACAAATACACAACAGAAGAATGAACAGGTTGAGAAGAAAGGGAAGACTAAAAAAGTTTAAGCGATGGAATTACAATTGAAGTGCAGAAAAATAAAGAGGTAAAAAGCCAGAGAAAAGCAATGCATGAAGCACCATATAGACAGATCAGAAACAAAAATAGCTAGGCACAGAGATATATGTTGAAGAATATTGGTGTAAACTAGTTTTACCATAGTTTCTTTTACTTTCTTTTTTAATTTCATGTTTTAATTTCTTTGGCTTACTATTTCATATTCTCCTTTGTATTTGATAGCTTAAATTGCCCCTCCAATTCTGTATTTCTTTTTCTTTTGATGGGAAATATTTTTAGTCTTAAATTTTCAGAATACACACAAACATGTTAACAGTTGGGCTAACTTAACATGCTATCTACAGTTTGAGGATATATTTCCTTAAGAGTTGGCATGCAATTCTATCAAGCAATGTGGTTTGCCAGCCTCCCAGTTCCTTATTATCATGTCTCATCTTATTCAGATATAAACATGCCAAAACTCTTGGGAATTTTAAACAGCATTTGGACAGATATGTACAAAAGGAATATGGTAGAAGAGGCAAAGAGGGGCAGTAGCAGAAGGATTTATGGCTAGTGGAGAAAGATAGGAGGTTGCAACCTGGATTGGAAACAAGAGAGGGTGACAGGACAAGTCAGAAAAATGATTAAAAAAGAAGAATGTCAAGGTAAATGTACTGGAGTTTGTGGGAAGGACCAGTGGCAACAACAGTTGAGGCAGAGAGACACAAATTTCTGTAAGAAACAGAATTAAGGAAAGGAGACCTCCAGGACTGTGATGGTGAACCTACGGCAGGCATGCCGGAAATGGCATGCAGAGTCCTCTCTGTCGGCACACGAGTCATTTCCCCAGCTCAGTTTCACTGCACGGCGCGCCTCCTGTCAGCCAGCTGATTTTCGGGTATCTGCCATGCATGCGCGGGGGCAGGGCACATGCAGGAGACACATGCACAGGGGGGAACGCAGGGTGTGTGTCATGTGCGCATAATCTTTAATGCCTGTTTATGTCTCTGATAGTTTTACAAGCATATCTTACAAATGAACAAACAGCGGTAGTACTTATTTCACTGATGCTAAGTGCTTCTTTATATTTTAATGCAAAATTAAATGATCCAGCATCTAAGGCATAGTAGCTGGGCAATATTACTTTGGTAATAATATGTTCTTAAAATTAAGAAGATGGCCAACAAAGTAAACAAAATCTATTTAAGGTACAAGGTAGAGATCTGATTTTTTTTTTTTTGTATCTGTATCCTTTGACCTTGTGATGCTGCTGATATTTTATTTTATTTTTTAATGGAATGTCCTTAACCTGTTGTTGCCTTTACTTTTATTGAAGGGATTCTTTTTATGCTAGTCCCTTTGAGCCTTTGAATGAATGGCAGACAAATCTAGCAAACAAAATTAAACCCAATCCAACCTTTCTGGTTCTACTGGTATACAGAGACAATTAAAAAATAACTCAGATATTTTAAAGATTTGAAAAGATTTCTTACCAGCATACATGTGGAATGTAAGCCTCTCAATCAGTTTGACAACAGTTCCTGCCTTAATAATTGGGATTCCAGATTTGGGCTGCATGTTTTCTTCAAAAACAATATTTTCTGTAGAATCAGGTTCTGCAAATCTATATAGCTCAGGACTTGGAAATCTCATCTGCTCCTCTTTCTCTTCTTGCAACATTGTTACATCTAACATGCGTTCCAGGGTACTTCTGTATTGTAAAGAGATCAAGGCTGCCATCCAGTTGTTCTTCTCTTCAGCCGATTTAGCAGCAAAAATAACACTGTTCTCATCTTTTAAAATGATTTCAAAAGCATGCTTGTACTCGTTAGTGTTATCTTTATCATTGATTTGTACCTTTCGCATAAGAAATTTCTCTTTCAGACGATATTCTGCATTGCTAGCACCAGGCAGCCTTGGTTGGCCATGATTTGACTTACAACAAATCATCAAACCATCAAAGAGAAATATATGTCTTTCATGTTTGGCACCCACACGTGTGAGTGTTCCCTCCATAATAAATTCATTGCAGCACTGTCCAATGTCTTTTCCTTCCCATCCATCTATATTCTTCTGGATCTCGTTCATTTTCTTGATTGCTAGCTGCTTCCCCTTCATTTGTTGACTGTAGAATCGGCATGCAGATTCACTTTGAAAGAGGAGCAAGATGATACAGTAACAATCACATATTTGGCAGAAAAATAACAAGTTTGTTGACAACTAATGTGGAAAAGAGTTTAATAAGATCTAGAAGATGATAGAAAAAAACCCAGCAAGTTAGCTTCAACTGTATGCAGAAAATTTCAGATCTGAAAGCGTTGTCATGCTTAAAAATGTAATTGACAAATCAACAGATTCCAGTCAGTTAGACTTATTTAACTGTCAAGTAGCAATTAATACTTTCTTAACAAATAAAAATATGAATATTACTTTCCATTCTTATGTATTACATTAAGATGCCCTAAACCATTATCAAATAGGTTAGTACAAAAACTGTTAAATGCTCTAAATTAATCTGCAAGATATTTTTGTTTGGATAATAGTTAACTAAAACTATTTTTTCTTTCTGCTTACCAGTAGAGTCTCAAGATGCATTTACTAGAAGCATGAAGGCAAACACACATACAACTTTACAACAATAGCTATCCGGACTTTGATGTCACTTCCTCTGAAAAATCATATTGTTTCAACTATTTTGTTCATTGTTTACTAAGAAAGGAAATTGAGAAATCCAGATCTATAGCACACTGCTCCAGGACTAAAAAGTAGGGAGAAAACAGAAGTGCGTTTACCTAAGCCTTCTCTTCGCAAGACTTTTGGAACAAATCCTTTCCATACTACTCTGAAGATTAAGCAGAGCTGTAATTGCTTGCTTCAAGCATTCTTTATCTTCTTCATCTTCACTCTTCTCTTCTAATTGCTATGAACAGGAGAACAATTTCTGAGTATAAAACCTTACAGATCAGTTTTTATCTTTCAGATAAAAGGCACTTCTTTTTGATGTAATTATGTTTGTAATAATCTAACAAATAATAATAATGCTATGAGAGGAAAGGGACAGTTTATCTACATAAAATTTCCTGGTGTTTATATGGAAAATTCAATATTATTTTCACAGCACTGCCAGATATTACCTGAGAATGGATGAAAAATGAACAAATCTTTCACTACATTAGTACCTTGTCGGCTTTTTGTCTCAAAACATATAATCAAATGAGCCACTTTTAATAGGCCAGTTTGGGGTGGTGGGACTTATAGGAAGTGAGAGATAACATTGACTAGGGAAAGGAATGGAAGTGGTGGAAGGAAGTGGGTAGGAAGGAGAAGAAAACAGCATTGAAATTCTCTCAATTCACTTTGTTTTGGATCTTTTTTCAAAATAATAATTTTATTAAAATTATAATTATATTAATAAAAAAATTATACCAAATGAAAAAGAAAAAAGAAAAAATAGAAGTTGCAGAAAGAGAAAACAAACAATATAATAAAAATAAAAAGAACTATATCATGACTCAGAGGATTCATAACAAATATAAACAATTGTACTAACTTATCAGCTTTTCTTAAAATACAATAATCTTTTTCTTCCCATGAAAATATTATCTGTGAGCAAATTCCTAAAACCTTGAAATTTCAGTCCTGATCAGCAAAAGACCATTAAAAATTATCAGAGACAACAACATATCTTAATCTTGATCAAAAAGCAACTTTATATCCGTTCATTTTACTTTTAAGTCTTGATCTTTAGTCCTTTCAAATCATGTCCTAGACTTTCTTTTCTTTTCTTGCACTTGTCACAAAATTCTTCAAAGGTATAACTCTTCTGTAAATCCAATATAGGAAAATTATCCAGGTCACTCTCCTGATTTATTATTTATATATCTCTTTTCATTACTAAGACATCAGTTAGTTTCTTTTGTATGTTGATCCTTTTCCACATCATTTTGTAGATTGTCATTTTTAAATCCACTTTCAGGTCAGCCTCAATTTTGTCCAATAAAACATGTTCCCCTTCCATAATATCTTTTATGGAGACAGTTTACCTATAGAGGCAGACAACTCTTAAAATTAATTTCTGGATCCATTGCTCAAAAATATCCCTCAATATGTCAAACGTTAAAATATTTCTCCCCATGTTGCTTTAATAAGTCAAATTTAAGTGTTCTTCTCCTTTAATTGTAATTGTAAGTTCCTTCTAGTTCCCTCTAGTATCCAACCTTCATACTCCCATCCTGTCATGTGTTTTCGTGAAATAATTCAAAGCAAAGGCACTTTCCTACAGGATTATTATTATTAATTCCAAATCTTATTTCAAATCATCTGGACCCTTTGTAACTTTCCAAAACCAAGTTATCTCCTTTTTGCTGCTTATTCAGAAATAAAATGTTCTTAAAAACTTGTTTTGCTGAGAATTGAAGGAAACTCACCAGTGAGTTTGTGATCCAGATTCTTAATAGCTAAAAAACAATTCACAAGCAATTTCCATAAGTGATTAGAAAAGAAAGTATGTAAATTCTGAATGTGCCAATTATGGTTTGAACAAGGTGGCTATTCGCTGTCTCCCAGAACTCTAAACCCACAAAAGGCAACTATCTTGAGAGTCTCCTTGCAAGGAGCAACTGTCTGGAATACTTGCAGGCGATCTCAAGTCCTCTCCTTCTCCAGGAAGGAATTATGAAAGCCCAATCTACTTGCCTGCTCTTCATTTTGCCGATCCTTGGCTTCACTTTTGCACAGCTGTCTTGAATGAACAAATTCTTCACTGCAAGTTCACTTTACTATGGATCTTCACAAACCTAGCACTTTTCTGCAAATGCTTATGTGTCTAAAAGGATTACTGCAAGTATTTTACTGACTGCAACGGAAGAAATTTAGAGCAGTGGTATTTTTTTTATGAGGAATTAGAAGGAGTTCTGAGGTAGGCAGGAGAATTTTGAAGTCTACACATGGTCTCCCTAGCAGACATCTTCTTAGTAAATAAAAAAAAAACACCTTTGTTTCCACAATAAACTCCCTAATCAACAGTACAAAGTACTGTACATCAACACTAACCAGTACCTAAATAGGAAAACTGCAAAAATACAAAACAACTTTTAAAATAGAATATAGTTAGATTTATAGTATACTATTTATTTTTCTTACATGTGGAGTTTTTAGAGTTTCAACATAGAAAAGAAAGTGGTGTAAAACTGCTGGAATAAAAGCAGGGAGATTTAGTGCTGTGGATGAGTTTGGACCAGCCATCTTCTCCAAGCACAATCTATTTCACAGAATGGATGTTTTTGAGAAAAAATGGGGAAAGGTCTCATGTATTCCTGGATGAAAGGTGGGATGTAAGTCCAAATAAATAAGAAACAAATTCTGAATTTATAACACTGATAAAGTAACATTTAGCAAATTTTGAAGTCTTTAAACAACAATAAAAAATAGTTATCTTTAAATTTTAGTTAATATGATATAAATCATAATAAGAAACAGCATACATGAAGAGAACACTTAAATTCTTCTTCCTCATTTCCCACTTTATGAATTTTGCTACTGAACTAGCAGTATCAAGCTCAACATACATATTGAAATTCCTGAAAATGGAGAACTTCTTTAGGGATATACCACTGACAGTTTATTGAAAACTTCATAGCAATAGTACTTAAGACTTATATACTGCTTTATAGTGCTTTACAGCCCTTTCTAAGAGGTTTACAGAGTCAGCATATTGCCCCCAACAATCTGGGTTCTCATTTTACCCACCTCGGAAGGATGGAAGGCTGAGTCAACCTTGAGCCTGGTGAGACTTGAACTGCCAAACTGCAGTCAGCCGGCAGTCAGCAGAAGTGGCCTGCAGTACTGCACTTTAACCACTGCAGTTCATAAATATTAGATGGAATTATTTTTTCTTACCTTTAAAAGTTCAAAATAGTGAAGACAATGGTAAACAGGAACTAGAAGTAGCCTAGGTAAAACATACTGAACAGCTTCTTTAAAACCATATCCAATTGACTGGAAATTAAAAAAAAAGTATTTCAGTGTTACAAGTAAGTCTTATGATACCTACAATATCCATTATATAAATGTATTACTTAACATACCTGCAAATAGAAGGCTGCTCCGGGCTTTGATAACTGGCTAAGAAAATGATCATGAAAGCCAGTCCGTAAAATATCCTGAGTGTATGATTCATAAGGATCAAATGCTAGCTCCTAAAGAAAGGTTTGAAGAATATTTCAATTATCTCATTGTTTCAAATTATCGTGTCAACATACATTCAAACATTCATCAATCTATATATCATTGCTTTAAATTAATGAAAAAATATCTGACACAGACATATGGGGGGGGGGGGGGGGGGTTTTTTTTTTTCAATGTACCATATTCTTATTTCTACACAATGTACTATATTCTTATTTCTACACAGAAAGTTATTGGTGTTTTTGTCTTTCAGTGTTTACAGAAATAAAATGGTTTAAAGTGGTCATGATTACAATCTTTTAAATTAAAAAATCTGAAATCACAATATGTAGACCCAATAGTAAACATAAAGCTACATTAAAGATTTCAGATATTTACTAGGCATTTTCCAGTTCCAACAATAATGAATTAAAATTTTTATATTTAACTAAATTTGGGTGGAGGGTCCAGTAGCAGAGCAGAACGAGGGGATTCTCTTGAGTTTTTATATAAAGAATGTATAAGAGGGAAAATAATTACTGAATTCCGAAGTGATGATTTCCCCCTAAAAATGTGCACATAAAGAGAAATGATTCTTATCATGCTTGTGTATCTGACCTGAACCTTCATTGGAACTAGAAAGTTGCAATTACTCTTGAGTAAACATTGACATCTGGTCCCTATATGTCAATGCATTTTCCTTAGTGACAATATGAATCACTTATGTCATTGCTGGGATTATTTTATTTCACCTCCTGCTAGCAATAGCAATAGCACTTAGACTTATATACCCCTTCACAGTGCTTTTTTCTAAGTGGTTTACAGAGTCAGCATATTGCCCCAACAATCTGGGTCCTCATTTTACCCACTTTGGAAGGATGGAAGGCTGAGTCAACCTTGAGCCTGCTGAGATTCGAACTGCCAAATTGCAGGCAGGCGGCAGTCAGCAGAAGTAGCCTGCAGTACTGCACTCTAACCACTGTGCCACTGTTATAGTTTTATAGAACTTTTACAGGTAGTCCTTACTTAATGACCACAATGGTGACCAGTCTTGGATCTTAAATGAAGTGGTCATTACATGAGATGCCCATGTGACCATTTTGCTCAACAACCACAATCCCAAGACTCCTTGTTGCAACTGTTAAGCAATCTCATGGGTCATTAAGCAAATAGAGTCATTCTTCATGCCTACTGCAAGTCCAGAGGGATTTTGAGCTCCGTGCTTGCTCAAATTTCACAGCCAAGGTCCATGTCTGGACTTTGGAGTCCTTCTATCACCACCTCTGCAGAGACACAGCAAGCACAGATCAGCAGGGAGCTCTTTCAGCCAGCCCGAGAGAGGAAAGAGTCTTCCTGACAGACAGGGGCTGCTTGCAACATTCCCTGCCAGCTTCTCCATAGACTTTCTGGGGAGGATGGCAGAGAACTGTAAAGGGTGATGATGCGATCATGGGGAACTTGGCAACTAGTTGTAAATGTGAATAAATTGCCAAGTACCCAGATCACTATCATGTGACTGCATGGTGGTATAATACAACATTTTGTGACAGTCAGAAGTGGTTCACAGGTCGTCAAATATCCAAGACAATAGAGACTTTGAACAATTATTAAATGATTGACTGTTAAGTGAGGACTACCTGAATTGTTTGATGGATTCCTATTAAAATGTCAATCAGATCTGACCTTGCTTTCAACCCTGAAGCTGACCTGACCAAGGCCATTTTGATGCTTCAGTGTTGCCACACGGGAGCTGGGGGATACAGAAAATGGAATAGAGATAGTTGGGGTTTGTAGCCAAAACAAAATAGTTTCTCCTGGGAACCAAGGACATTCCCACAGATGGCCGGAGAGAGGAGAAGTGAAGTTACCAAGCAACTGGACGATACCTTGATTGGACCATGTGACTGGTTGTTTGGTGAAGGGAGAAAACTTTTACTTTTAATAAGGTGAAAAGCACGGGAGCATTCAGAGTCCGTTTTCACCAGCCTGTGCCAATATGATATATCCAATACGATATATCCATTGGTATGACTGTGGCCAGTCATTCCAATGCCAAGATCCAGCCACTCTATGGCCTGCTTGTGATTTGAAGATCAGCAGGCACAATCTTCTCATGACTGTTGGAAAGTCTTACAAGTTTTCTGAAAATTTTACAAAGCATTGTGAGAATGGTTTGAGTGGCTTTGGGTAGAAGGCCTAGCATAGCCAGCAGCTGCCTTGCAAGAGTCAGGTGTGACTTGTCAGCACCAACAGTAAGATGGTGAATGTCCAGTAAAGTGTCTTAGTTCATCTGGAGGCTAAATATCACGTTACATGGTGCCTGGGCCTGGGATGGGGCTTGAGGTGGCACTCATTGTCAGTTCTCGAGACTCTGGGGCTGAAGTAGAGGCCCAGTGTTGGTTAACTGAGACTGCTGAAGACCCCAGGTCTTTCGTTTGGTCCCAGCACCAAGTTATGCTACTGTGTAGAGAAGCCAAGAGGGCAGAGATAGGGAGATAGGTGAGTTGGAGGAGTGAAAGAAGAGGTAGTCCCTTACTTCACTGAAGCTCAGGCTGAAAAGGATCAAGCCAGGAATGGCTTGGATCAAGATGAGTCTTTGCCTAATCAGTGGGACATGATAATGATGGCTACAAAGACTGCCAGTATTAATGTCACTAAGTGATGCAGGTATGTGATATCATGCTTTATAATCACATCGCTTAGTAACAGAAATTCTGATTCCCAATTATCATCATAATCTTCAAGCCAACATAAGTATAGCTCCCCTTTAGGATCTATACATTCAAGAGATCATTCTGGAGAAAGGTAGGGGCTTCAACTGTGTTCCCTTTCTCCTGAACTCTCCATCAATTTGGACAAATGACAGGAAAGGGCTTTAGGTCTAGAAAGCAATGAGATACTAGAAAGTAATGAGATATTATTGTATTATTGTACAATATTAATGTCTGATTACATTATTCAGTTCCCCTCAGTAGCCTAGTTTTAT